GTAACCCTTGCAATATTAGTAAACGCGTGAATTTGTGTCCTATAAAATATAACCTTTTTATTCAAACTCGGGTATTCTAAATACAAAACAAATGTTGTGTAACTTAGTTACAGTACATGCGTACTTACTGGTATTGTAACATTATATAACGTTGACTTACTCTGATGTGAAACTGTGTCACGTATCTGTTAAACCGATCAATCTGGAACACATTTTTAAAATAGCATAAATATAATGAGAAAACTCGTTTATTTTTTTTTTAAATAATGAAAACTTGACAAAATGTCTAAACTGTCTGAACTATTAATTTTCTATTGAACAAAACTTTAAATATTTTATCAGTAGATGTAGGTTTAAACTTTTCAAAAAAAAAATTCTATTGTTAAAAAATAAAATCATCGATTGAAATTGATCAATTAATTATTTGTCATTCAGTCCTTAACATCATACATAAAGTCATTTTGAGAAATATAAACGTATTCGTTGGATACCTGTGTTATTGTCCACATTTATGATTAATCTTATCGTTAAAAGTATAAAGACTGTCTTCGATTTCCCGGCATCTGAAGGAACCGCTATTTTACAAATCACACTTTCTTTGGAAACCAATAGATCATTATAGAGTTTAAGCTATTTATCAGTTCTCTTTCACCAACTATCTCAGTCATGAAACTTATGTGAACTTCACCATCACTGTTGTCTATATTTATTATGTTACCAATATACCGCCTTTTTGTACGTTTTTTCATTTTATATTTTCCTATTTCACTTTATTTTTGTTTCGGCGCGGCGCTCTTATGGAATGAGATCAGATTTTGTGAAAGGGCGACAGCAACTTCTCGAGCCTTTTAGTCGGTCATAATAAAAGCCGAAAATTCCGATCGGTATGAGGGTGCTTAATTATTAAATAAGAATGAAATGTCGCGATATGTTACAATGAATTTTCGCAATGCAAACATTTACAAATGAAATAACCTTTTCCGTCAATAAATCGCGCTCTTCGGGGTTTTTTATTTATCATTTTGTAGTACACAGTCGGTTATCATGTCATGTTATGTTATTGTTGTACATGTATCCTAGAATGATCAGTTGATGACCTAAATATTCCAAAAACCTATTTATAGATAGATCTTTTTATCACTCCTATCGGTAAATGCCGGTCTCTCCCGGTCTATTTTGACCAGGATTTACTAGTGACCGGCGAATAGTACCACACGTTTATTGTCCGGTCTCTCCCGATTTTGGAGTAGATGTTTGATATCGTTACAATTGGAAAAAAAAACAACAATAGCATGTTTCATTTTATCTATATGAGATAAAAAACAATAAATATGTACACGGATTTATATGTAATATAAATCCGTGATATGTACAATAATTGAGAAAAAGGTACATTTTTTATGGTATTAAAATGACATTATCAACTTTGAAACATTTTATTTAATTATTCAATTTGTTATCCGTGTTTAGTAAAGATGCCGAGGAATTATTCAAAGTTTACAAATTAGATTTTATGAATTATTCAATTGATCGATAATTTAAAAAATGATAAAGAAAAATACAATGTACATGTACATGGTTTAAGAATAAACAATATTATATATTGAAAGATAAACCATAATTTACTGACTTTTTCCAGTTAAGCTTTTACTTATAATCGTCGGTCAATATGACAATTGAATTCTTAAAAATTTATTTTACAATTTTAATAAAAAAGAGTAGTAAAAACTCAGTATTAAAATAGCACATAAAACACAAAAAAGAATAAAAGAAAACAATATTCATAAAATTTGTATTTTTTTAAATTGAAATTAATAGATATTACAATTATTGTATAATAAACAATTATGCTCAACATGATCAACATGGTAATATAACCAGTGTCATATTTTTACTAACTTAAAGTGTGAACAGATACCTTAAGGGGGTCTTCGCTAATAGCGATAACATGTACATAATAAGGGACAAATGTGTGGTACGTGTTGATCATGCGTTACACATATGGATTATAAATGATTGCATACATGTATATCCGTTGCTATTAATAACCACGATCATAAAGAAATAACAAGTAATATTATAATCTCTAGCATGCCAATCAAAGTTCATAATGAACAATGTCTTTCGTCCGCTCATTCATAAGTGGTATACATTTCTGGTAGTTTATAAGAATATCTTGTCATCATATGTGTACTAGTTCATCTTCACTTGCTGCATTTCTTGCTTGGACGCCCTTTGATGCCTTGCATCAATGCTTTTCTTGTAAAGGAATTGAAACAAATTGCAATAAACAGAAGACAGATATGCGTGTAAAAAGCTACGGGTTAAGCATTTATATATTTTTTATGTTTGACTGTAAGGATGACTATATATATCAATGAAACAAAAACATCTGCATGCCGTTTTAAACAATCTAGCTCCAAGTCCTTCTTAATATAATATGGCTGGTATTATAAAACATATAACAAGCAAAATTATACCTGACTGACATTTGCTGCTTGTTTATGGAGGCTATTCGTTGCCAAAAATCCAGCCTTTGAAACTTGACAATGCATACTTCGGTTCTACTAAACAGATTAGTAAAAATCTAATTGTCGATCCGAGAGTTACATACATGTACTGCACTTGTATTAAGCATTTCATTATCTCGATTTGATAAAATGGAAGCTGTAAGCATGCAACTTAGATAAATTGCAAACTGTATTTATAAATGTTTAACTTCAAATTTGCGACCTGTAGAAATGTAAACAATAGAACGTACACAATACGTTTAATGATGTGCATCATGACGTTGAGAATGTAACTGCATCAACTTGACACACACAGGTTGACAACACCACACTTTCCTTTTACATTCTAACTCGATTAACATTTGTAAACGATTTTGCAACTTCCATATATGGAATTATCACGGAAATAGACGAAAATTAATAGGAAGAGCCAATTTTCACGAAAGCAGAATGTAAAGAGGGGTAACTCTTGCTGGTACAAACATATTTCAAATTAATTGGAAACTGTTATAAAGTTCACATACATCAACTGCATTACAGTTGACTTTGAACATCATCTGATTTTGTTAAAACGTATTCCAGTACAGGATATATAAGTAATGCAAAATTGGTTAAGATATAATGTATCAATGTAACAACGTTTATACTGATAATAGTTATAATAATATGCAAAAACTAAAGTTGGTGAATTAACATAAGGGAATGTTTCCCATATATAGTGACACACACCACTATAATTTCTTAACGGTAATACTTGTACGCATGTCTTTTACATTCAGCAAATAGTACTAGAATGCGATACATGGAAGTCACTTTTGGCAACACGAATAAAGAGATCTGAACAGTCTGTGCTTTCTTTCTTTAAAGGACTATGTTGGGTTGTAGAAAAACCCATATTTTGACCAAGTGTAAAACCACGGAACAATTCAAAGTTTACCATCGATAATTCCGTTGTATAACCAAAAAACTTGTGCATTTGTCCCATTTTAATGTTGAAATAAATATTCATTGTATTCTAGAAGCTCTAATTACCTACATTGGGAGGTATTTTCAGTCATATGATGTGATTTAGCCTTTTATTATTAAATATTTGTAAGCTGACCTAGGTCAAGGTCTTTTTATGCATGGTACTGAATCAATAACAGCTCTTAAATCTGTGTATACATGCTTTCAATAGTTGTTACATAGACTTGCTGTCTATTTGTGTCGCGAGGATCGCGAAATTATATGACATGCTTTCCAAAAATGTGTAATTTTCTCCGGTGACCTCATAATTTTGTTTGACTTAAGGTTATGCTCCGGCATAACCTTTACACATTATTGTAGATATGTTCTCCGGCGGAGTACTTTGTTATAATCCGGCGGAGTATTTTGTTATAAATCATGTTTATTGACTTTCTCGTGATACTTGTGTTTTTGCGGGAATTATTTCATTGGTATATAAGTCAGATTTCAGTGTCACGAGACAGAGCTTCTCAGGATTTCAAGTTATTATGGATAGTATTTAGGTTCAAAATTCATATATATTGTGTTCTTTCGGCTTTAAAATTATACAGTGTTAGCAAAGTAAAAGTTTGGAAATTATAATACAGTGTTTGTGCTCTCTATTAGTCTTTCATGTGATTGGAGTAAAATGAAGTGTAATTAAAGTATACTCCACCACATAGAAATTTGGCGCCGGAACCCGGGAAAGCAAAAACTAGGATTTTCTTGGCGTGATTAAAAGTGAAGAAGGAAAAGTATGTGTTGTGTTTCTGTGAAAAGGAATTAATTATTATGAATACATAAATAATATTCACGTTACAAATAGAAGCTTGTGAAAGGAAAAGGTATGTGTTAAAATTTGCAAATTTATGGAGTTGAACGAATTTGTATTGTGTTTAAAGTGATTAAAGTCAAAAGTGGGACGGAGTTTGATATTATGTATTAGTGAAAGTGTCTTAAGCAATACGAGTTGATTTAAAATATTTTGAAAAGTGTTGGACTTAGAGTGCATTTACAAAAATGGAAAAAGCAAACGTAAACATAAAGTTTATAAAGGGTGTGCGTACACGGTATATTAATGTACTTGATAAAGAGATTAAAATTGGTTTGGACTTATTGGAATCAGTTGAGGATGAATTGCCAGAAGAGTATAAAAACTTACAAAAAAAGGTTAGTGAATGTAGATATAAAATAAATACTTATGTCGAAAAGTTGAGTGCTCAGTCAGAAAAATTAGCTTATGCTTTGGGGGACTCAGATGACGATACAACTCAAACAATTATCGAAGATGATTCGGCTTTGACTGAAAGTGCTTTGTCATTATCGCATAAGCTACAGTTGTGTGAAGATGATCTAAAGGCATTAATAAAGCGTAGAGAAACTGGAGATTCTGTCAGTGATAGTGCAGTTCAAAGGATGTGTGATTTGCAGATAGAAATGCAACAAGACTTTTTCATTTAACAACAGGAAAAAAGTGATCGACAGTTTGAAATTCAAACAAAACTAATGGATAAGCAAATATCACAAAGAAAAGAAACATCAGTCAAACTTCCGAAGGTAGACATAGCATCGTTCAATGGAAATCGCTTACTTTGGATTGAGTTCTGGAACTCCTTTGAAAGTGCCGTTCATAAGAATGAAAGGTTATCTCCAATAGATAAGTTCAATTACCTGAAGGGAATGATTACTGGCGAAGCGAGAAGTGCGATTGCGGGATTGACTCTTTCAAACGAAAATTATCAGGTTGCCATTAAAATACTTAGAGAGCGATTTGGAGACAAACAAGAAATAATTGATCTCCACTATAAACAGCTTCTAAATTTAATACCAGCTAGACATAATACAGAGAGTTTAAGATATTTCATGGACAGAATTGAAAAGCATCTCCGCAGCCTAGAAGTATTGGGTGAAAATCTAGAACAACATATATTTGTATCTATGATTCGCAGCAAATTACCAAGTGATGTGTTACTTCAATTAGAGATTATGAAACACGCTGATGAAAAGTGGACAATATTGAAATTACGTGATCTGTTGAGACAATATATTGTATCTAAAGAAAAGGCGGATAAGACAAGGCTCCCAGAAAATCAAACACAGCGTGGTGACAAAATTGAAAAACCTCAACATTATCGAATGACAGGTGGTGGTCCTTATGACAGGAATCGTGAAAGACATTATGTACCAAAATACGCTACTGGATCTCTTATTGCCGGAGAAAAGAAAAGTATAACAAGGCAATTTCAAAGAAAATGTAGATATTGTGAAGGTGCTCATTGGAGCGATGAATGCACTATTTATAAAAGTATTGACGATAGAAAAAGAAGATTGAAAAGTGGTTGTTTTAAGTGTCTGAAAGACAGTCACAAAACAAATGAATGCAAAAGTTCAAAGTTATGTGTGTATTGCGGCAAAGTGAACGTACATCACCGAAGCTTATGTGATAAAAAGTTTTCAAAACACTTCCAAAAAGAAAGTGTTCATTTGTCAGAAGAAATATTAAAGGAAGAAAATCCAAGTGAAGAAGCTGGACTATTATCCTTAAACGAAACTGTGCTTATGCAAACGGTGCTGACTGACGTTCGTGGTGCAAAAAGTCTGAAGAGCGAAAAGGTACGTCTCATCCTTGATTCAGGTTCACATAGGTCATATATTGCCAAATCGCTTGCAGACCGTCTAAAGCTAAAAGGAGAAAAGGACCAAGAAATAAACATTGTAACATTTGGCAGTGAACGATCGAGAGTGATCAAGACAAAAACAACAAAATTAAATCTGAAAATGAAAAATGGAGATTATTTGACCATCGAAGCAAATATTGTGCCAAGTATTAGTGGAATGATGCAGCGTACTAAAGTTAAAGATAGCCAGAAACAAAAATTACTTGAATTCACAAAAGATTTGACCCTAGCTGATAGCATACCAACAGAAACAAAATCAGATGTTTTAGAACTATTACTTGGTAATGACTATTATTTGGATGTGATAGAGTCAGAAAAAATAAAAGTGAGTCCTGGATTGTACCTCCTATCTTCAAAATTTGGATGGATTATTTCTGGACGAACAGAGCTTGATGAGACGATTCAGGATACATATGATGCCAGCATGTTGATAATGACACATGGCAGAAATGTGATAGAAAATAAAGTGTTTCAAGAAGTTGATCCTCCCCTTCAAATGCAACCAAATATAGAAAATTTCTGGAATTTAGAAGGAATTGGGATAACAGATAATATTACTAAAACTGATGATGAAAAGGCAATGCAAACTTTTAAAAACACACTTAAAAGAGAAAATGGAAGGTACCAGGTCACGTGGCCTTGGAAAGAAGATATTTCAGAATCAGATCTACCAGAAAATAGAGGATTAGCTGTTGGAAGACTTAAATCACTTGTAAAAAGGATTCAGAAAATGCCAAATTTGATGGAAAGATACGATGAAGTGATTGAAGATCAATTACAAAAGGGTGTTATTGAAAAGGTTGAAAGAGATATATGTGATGGAATAAAGCATTATATTCCCCATCACGTTGTGATCAAACCGGATAAAGCAACGACAAAACTTAGAATCGTTTATGATGCGTCGGCAAAAGTGAATAAAGAATATCGCAGCTTGAATGAATGTTTATATAGAGGTCCTGTGTTACTTAGAGATCTTTGCGGTATGATCCTTCGATTCAGAATGCCAAAAATAGCTGTTATTTCTGACATAGAAAAGGCTTTTCTCCAAGTTGCCTTACAACCATCGGAAAGAGATGTAACAAGGTTTTTGTGGTTCAAAAACTATAAAAATCCTATTGTTGATGACAATCATATACAAGAGTACAGATTCAGCAGAGTTCCATTTGGTGTAATATCAAGCCCATTTCTACTTGGAGCAACCATTGAGAGTCATCTAGATAAATATAAAACTCCGTTATCAGAACAGCTTAAAGAAAATATTTATATGGATAATATCATATCAGGTGCAGACACAGTACAAGACGGCATTGCTTTATACAATGAAGCAAAGATGATATTTAGTGATGCAAAAATGAATTTGAGAGAATGGATTACTAACAGTGACGAAGTTAATCGTTCAATACCTGAGATAGATCAAGCAACAGATAAAAAGGTCAAAGTTTTGGGATATGTATGGAATACAAAAACTGATACTATAGCTGTTCAAGGATCGAAGACTCTGCGTGAAGAGCTATCACTATCAAAAAGGGATGTGTTGAAACAAGTAGCATCGGTATTTGACCCATTAGGATTATTTGCTCCTATTACAATGAGAGGAAAGGTTTTACTCCAAAAGGTGTGGAGCAAACACCTGGACTGGGATGATATACTTGACAAAGAAGATGTGACTGAGTGGCTTGAAATAAAAAGTGATCTTTTGAAGATAGAAAATGTGAAAATAAACAGACATGTTGGAAATTCAAACGGAAAAGTTGGTGCTAAAAACATGCTTATATGCTTTTGTGATGCTTCTATCAAAGCATATGCTACAACAATCTATCTTCGACAGGAGTCAAACAAATCAACTAAAGTAGATCTTATATTCAGCAAAAATAGACTAGCTCCGTTGAAAGGAATGTCAATACCTAGACTTGAACTCTTAGCAGTTCTTATTGGAGTCAGATGTGTAAAATTTGTAGCAGCCCAATTGAAAGTGTTGCTTAATTCAATGGTGATAATGACAGATTCGCAGTGTGTATTGCAATGGATTAAATCTGAAAAGAAGCTTCCAACATTCATTAAAAACAGAGTGAATGAAATTAGAGAGCATGATGACATAGAATTCCATTACGTCAACACGAATCATAACCCTGCAGATATTGCCAGTAGAGGATGCACACTATCGAAACTAGAAGAGAGTATATGGTGGAACGGTCCAAAATGGTTGCAGAATCCAATTGAAAGTTGGACCTATATGAATATTCAGTCAATGGATGATTCAACATATCTTCACTGCACAAATTTAGACAAAAATGAGCTAACAAATGATACCACTGAGCATGAAGTGAATAAATGTGAAAATGTTGAATTATGTTCATCAGAATTAAAACAAGAAAGTGTTTTAACCAAACAAAAGATGTACATCAATTCTCCGTTCAATATTGACGAAGACAAATATTCTTCAGTTACCAAGTTAATACGAGTAACAGCGTGGTGCAAACGTTTTATAAGGAATATTCGTCGAAAAAAATGCACAACTGGATATCTTTCTTGCAGCGAATTAGAAGAAGCAGAGGATTTGTGGGTAAAATATCTTCAATTGAAACACTATTCTGAGGAACTGGAGTTAATCAAAGTTAAAAAGACAAATAATCTAATTAGACAGCTCGACCTATTCATCGATAGTAATGGTGTATTAAGATGCGGTGGTCGTTTGCTACATTCAAGTTTTAATGAAGCAGCAAGATTTCCAATTTTGCTGCCTTCCGGAGAAAGAGTGACGTGTCTTATTATTGAAAGAACACACTGTAGAATATTGCACAGTGGAGTTTCGCAAACACTTAGTGAAGTTAGGCAAAGATATTGGATACCACATGGCAGAGCTTCAGTTGGAAAAGTATTAAAGAAATGCAGAATATGTCGCAGATTTGAAGGAGGCCCATACAAGCTTCCACCAATGGCTCCGTTGCCTAAGTCACGCGTATCACAGGCTACGCCATTTACAAGAGTTGGTCTTGACTATCTCGGACCATTATATATAAAAGAAGATAAAGAGAAAGAAAAGGTATGGGTGTGTCTATTTACATGTCTTGTAACTCGTGCTGTACACCTCGAAGTTGTACGAGATATGACAGCCAATAGTTTTTTGATGTGCTTAAGAAGATTTATAGCTACAAGAGGAACGCCTGTGGAACTTATAAGTGATAACGCAAAACAATTCAAACTTTCGAGTGATATTATCAAGCAAGTATGGAAAACAGCAGTGGAAGACGAAGACGTTCAAAATTATACATCAAATATCGGCATCAAATGGACATTCATCGTGGAGTTGGCCCCTTGGATGGGCGGCTTTTATGAACGCCTTATCGGCATTGTAAAACGTGCTTTAAGAAAAACAATTGGCAGAAAACTCCTATCGCTAGAACAGATGACGACAATACTAAAAGAAGGTGAAGCTGTTGTGAATTCGCGACCTTTAGTTTATATTGGAAGTGATTTAAAGTCTTCGATTGCATTGACTCCAAAGCATTTCATTTGCTTGAATCCTTTTACTGGAATACCATGTACGGAATGTGATGTTAATGATCCCGATTATGTACCTTATGAAAGCAATGCTGAAAAACTTTTAAACATTTGGAAAAAAGGTCAAAAACTCTTGGACACATTTTGGCACATATGGCGCAACGAATATCTATTAAGTCTTCGCGAGAGAATGCAAAGCAAATTAAAATCGCCGCGAATCGAATCGCATTTTTGTCCTAGTGTTAGTGATATAGTGCTTATAAAGGATGATGTTTCCCGCGGACAATGGAAATTTGGAAAAGTAACAACTTTGAATAGTAGTCGAGATGGAAATATACGTTCAGCCGATTTACTGACATCATCCAGAAAAGTGATAAAACGACCTTTAAATCTCTTATATCCAATTGAAGTAGTTGATAAATAAAAAATGAACAGAGAAAATGTATATTATCATTATCGTCGTGGGATGGTTGCATACCTGCAAAATTTAAATATATATGATTTATTGCTTGTCATATTAAAATATGAGGAACAGTGTTTATTATAAAAATATTATGTGACTCTTTATCACTCATTTAACAGACATTAGTTCGCATAAAAGATGCGTATTTGTATTACAATTTGTTTAAACATTTGTGCATTGATTTGTTGTGTATTAATGATACTTATTGGTCAAGTAAAGACATTCGCTTGTTTATGTTTTGTGGGGAATGTCGCGAGGATCGCGAAATTATATGACATGCTTTCCAAAAATGTGTAATTTTCTCCGGTGACCTCATAATTTTGTTTTACTTAATGTTATGCTCCGGCATAACCTTTACACATTATTGTAGATATGTTCTCCGGCGGAGTACTTTGTTATAATCCGGCGGAGTATTTTGTTATAAATCATGTTTCTTGACTTTCTCGTGATATTTGTGTTTTGGCGGGAATTATTTCATTGGTATATAAGTCAGATTTCAGTGTCACGAGACAGAGCTTCTCAGGATTTCAAGTTATTATGGATAGTATTTAGGTTCAAAATTCATGTATATTGTGTTCTTTCGGCTTTAAAATTATACAGTGTTAGCAAAATAAAAGTTTGGAAATTATACTTCAGTGTTTGTGCTCTCTATCAAAGTCTTTCTTGTGATTGGAGTAAAATAAAGTGTAATTAAAGCATACTCCACCACAATTTGATCAAAAGCAGAGAACTTTTTTATGTACATGAAATACTGCACAGAATATTTATTAAGTTTTGTAAATGACGGCTTTCTAATAGATGAAATTAAGCAAGGTATACATAAATTGATAATCAACATATTTATACCTTTGGACTCATTTAAATATTGTTATTGAAAAAAACAAAATTATAAAAATGGGAAAATATATCTATACATTATGGTAAACATTAAAAGTTAATGTACGAAAAAGTAAATACAACTTTGGTTTTATTTTTACTATGTTCAAAGTTTTTTCTTGTCAAGACATACGCTAGAATTAAGGTTACTAATGTAATAGTAAATGCTACTACTAGGAAAGACAACAGCCAGAATTTGGTCTGTATTAGTATTTAGTCGTATCAAAATCTCTATCAGATATTGACTTGAAAATTTGAAAGTGGTAAGGTAGCAGCTTAACTGTAAATGTTACTTATTCCTATGTAAATTGGAATCCCCTCAGTAAAATTTATTTGTCGTCGAATATAGTCTTATCAATAGTTTTTACTTCCTTGAAAAATATTTAACCTCAGGCAGTAAAACTTGGTGAGTTTTTTATTATTATTTTTGGTTTCTTTTTCTAGGAAATGTGGTATCTACAACGTTTTAAAACTTATATGCCTATAATCCTTTAAAGTCCGCTGATGTTGATTTATAAAGGCATAAAAAGGCTATCATGCAAGTGAATTATGTTTGGTGAATAACTTTACACCTTAAAGGTGTGGTAAATTGAAACTACGTCTGTGCGTGTTCTTGTATCCGTCTTGTCGCCGACGGTAAATACCAAAAATGAGCGGATAAATACGTTTATTTACGATGATGTAGTGGGCGGGAAAATGAGCGGAGCTTATTTTATCTCCTATTGAAAAACGTGTATAGCTGGATAATGCTGATCCGAATCATGATGGTTCGACAATGTAAAGCTAAGAAAGTAACTTCTGTTTTGTTAGCGTATACACGAACAATGAGTATTCCGCATGTTAAGATGAACACTTGGTATTGCTACTATCAGCAAAACAGTAAATGTTTTGTCGTTTGACAAAATGTAATTTGTTGAAATGCATGTTTACAATGTTAAATCGGCAAACTCAATCCAAGAATGCAACATTGGAGTTTACATAGTACAAAGAAATACAATGGTATTTCGTCCGTTAGCAAACTGTTCAACTCAGATCAAAAAAGCTGGATTTTTGGCAAAGAATAGGCTCCATACTTGTTCGTTTCCATCAGTTGGTGCAATAACAGGACACTTCACTTGCGTACAAAGAATAGCTGTCAGCAGCAGGCAAAACGGCATGTAAGTTTATGGGGCCTGAAATCAGGCTTGCATTTCTCTCTTTTATCAAAGCATCAGCATCGTCATTGTTTTCTTGCGACTAAAGGACATATTTAACTTTCTTCTCGTGAGTTAATGCCTAATTAAGCCCAAGAACTCTTGAATTGAGATTTTTCCCTGCTTAACCGCATTTGAAGCTACATCGATTCCGTCAAAAGGACTCTTTCAAAAATATAATAGCTATATCGGTTGCGAAATTAAGAGATCGGCAAATCCGTTCAGTAATGAATTTTTGTCGGTGTTCGTAAATCTCCCTTAAGTAATGGAACCAACTTTTGAATGACAACGGCCCGAGAGTTAGGTTTGCTGACATCAAATACGAGAACATAATAGCTGTACTCAATGTTACGATTTTGTGATATCCTGTTCGCCATAACCGGATGTAAAGTTACATTTATAAGTTCCGTAATGCGCTCTGTATGTTTTCTGATGTCTGACAAGCAAAGTTTTCAGCGAAGTCCGTTTGCACTATCAGCTTATTGATTGGTAGTTTTGATTTTACTGCAGCAGCGGATCTGTACTGATGGCGCACTAGCTCAATATTCTGCAAAAATAACTCAACTGTTTCATAGTTGAATAATATAGTCTTGCAGTTTAATTTCCCACCTTTGCATAAAACTCTTTGTTAGGATAATGTACTTTTTTAAATTCTGGCGCTAAATGCAAATTTTATCAATGTTTAGATTATTGCCGGATTTGCTGCACAACGCCTTGTATTCCTGCGCATACTGCATTTCCCATAACAAGTTTCCTGACAATAGCTTTTGGTAGTGACCTTGGTGTCAAGTCTACTTCTCTACTATCATTATTTGCTTTGCTCTTAAAGGTTAAATTTTCACTTCCTTTGGCCGCATCTATTTCACTTATTTTATTTTTCACCTCCAGCATTCGTTGGTAGCGTTTTTTGTATAGTTCAATGCTGTTGTTTTTTTGCAATTTATTATAGTTTTGTCTGCACCTCAGATCTGGCTGCTATTAAAGTTGTCTTACCCCTTTTCTTTGATGTACTGCTACTTTGCCTTCTTTTGTTTAAGTCAAATTTCATAAGCATGGCGTTAGGTGTGTTATTTGCTCGTGTAATGTTTTGTTGTGAATATGTTCACTGCTAGTAGAACTGCTAACATAAGATCATTGTAGTTGGCCGAGAGTTTCTGGGCTCACGCCGCTTATCATGGAATGGCACTACTGTGACATAGAAGGTTCCATGATAATCGCCGTATGAAAACATCTGCTAATGTGACTAAATTCAAAATTTCACAATTTTTCGTGTTTAAATGTTAAATTCTGCTTAAGCCGGTGCTAGGGGGCGTGGACGGTAGCTTGCATTTTCCAGTACCGTCCATGACCAGGCTAAATCAAACCGAGCCTGCAATATTTTCAATTTTGTCGTGTTGGGCTTTCTTTGGATTTATCTTAAATTTCTCCTTTTTACTTTACTTATTTAATGACATCTTCCATATTTGGCAGGAAGATACCTTAAATGGTTCTCTTTGTGGAGTAAGGGGTCACTTTGTTAAAAAAGCCTCGGATGGTCCTCGTTCGTTTAGTTCAGTAAAGAGTCATTTGGGTCAAGGTCACTAATGTTAGAAATAATATTTTACACATTAACAGGTGTAACCTTGTTCAATTGACTGATGTCTTTTATATTTGGTAGGAACATAAAATTAAGGAATCGTCCTCCTTTGGGTGGAGTTTGAAAAAAATTAATTACGTCGGTTTAGAGTATTTTGTATCGAAATGACATCCTAAATGTTGAGAAAAATGTTCTACGTGTCATAGCATTCTTCGTTGTTTTTTAACAAGGATATTTTTTAAAAACTGATATTTTAAGAAACTGTTTTTATATATCAAATCATTTTGTGTGTAATATACATATCTGTTTACATGTTAATTTCCTGATTAGACAGGTTACGATGCAATATGTACATACATATCTGTCTCATAATTATACTAGAATATAAGGGAAACAAATGTGTCAATTTCGCGACTTTTCTTGAAATTAGTTTCCTCCCTTACACACGTTAACGAGGAAAAGGTGAAACATTTTAATTAGACCCAAGTTGTTTTTTTCCGTGGGAATTGGTATGCGATTACTTTTTGAGGCATGGAGGAGCACGTGACATGTTTTCGGTACATGGAGCAGCACGTGATCTGTAATCCGTACTTGATTGGTTAATCAACTTTGTAAAAAAATAATAAAATCTATACTTCATGCACATATAGTATTTTCCAATGGGTACAGTATATGACTGAATATTTAAGTGCAACTAAAAAAATACAGAATTAAATGTAAATTTGAAAATAGTATTGTAGTCTGTATCATGCAAGAAAAATCTTGATGTACAGACTGGTGTCCCACTAATAAACTGTTTTTTTTTAATTTATTCTCGCATAAAACATTTTAACTTGTCTAAAACGTGACATGATTTAAGAGAACCGTGATTTAAACAAATTGATGAAAAAAAATGTGTTATATGTGTTTTACTCTATTTGCTCATTGTAGGCCTGATTTTTTCCCCAAGAAATATAGACAATTATTTATCTACTTTCAATTTCTGATAATTCCCAGGTAATATATTTAAGAAATAATATATCCCAAACAGTGATTTTATCGCTCAATAACATCACTGTTTGGAGTTCGGATGCGAGGAATTATATCACGAGGGCGTAGCCCGAGTGATATAATGATGCGCATCCGAACGACAAACAGTGATATTATCAAGCGATAAAATCACTGATTTGGATATATTTTTTCGATTCTAACACGACATCAACAAATAAATGTTGCCGTACTTGATAGTTAAGCAAAATTGCGCCTGATTTGTTTCCGTACTTATTTTCAGCGCGTCGGATTTTTAGTGGTTAAGTCACGTGTATAATGATTACGTC